AGTGTGCCTGTGTTACTCTCCTAGCCTGAGAGGGGCTGGGGACCCTCCATGGGCCTGCAGCAAGGGGAGATGGTGTTGTGGGCGCTGGGTCTGGGCTCTATTCCCTCAGGAACTCCTCCCTGTGGGGAGACCTGCCCCACCTCAGGCCGCTGTGGGCTCACACAGATGAATCCGGCCTGATTTGGGGTGCAAATAACTGATCTGGGTGCCACGTGCAGTAGCAATGGGCTGTGCTGTGGGGCTGGACACAACCTGCAGCAGAGCTTGGGCTGGAGGTGCTGGAAGGAGATGAGGAAATAGGGGTGCAAGAGCTGAGGGGCCTTTTTACACTCTACATTTCAAGGCACGAGGCCAATGGTCACCATGTCTCTGTGGCTGCACAGCACTGAGGCCTGTTTGCCCAGGGAGCAGTCTTGTGGTCTTCCACCTGCCGCTAGGTTATACAAATGAGCCAAATCTTGAAGGTTTTCCATGTAAATTTTAAATAATTGTAACATACACAAAGTGAGAGATGTTTTGTTGTCCTTGGTCATCAATATTCTGGTAGAAATTCAGTTGCTGTAAATCGGTATCTAAAATGGAGGGTTAAAAAAAAAAAGCCAACTTACAAACTGAAAAATGCTAAAAAAGTCTTGATTTTGCTATTGCCTTTGAAGTAACTTGCCCCTGGCAGCTCATGGGGCTTGTGGTCTCTGTTCCTGTGACTTCAGGCTGAGGCCATTCTTTTTTTATTTACATGTGTTCAGTTCTCTTTTTCTGCTGGCAATTGTTTGGGCTGCTGCCCACTTCTCAGGCTCATTCTTCAGGCATTATTGTCCCATCACCTCTCACCACAGGAAGAGGACAGGTAGGGAGTTGTATTTACTTAATAGGACAACATTGTGCAGCTTCCCTTCTTAAGGTGGCTGGCAGTGGTGAGAATAGGCTGTTCTTTGTATGGCTGGAGACAGTTGAAGTAGTTTGATCAAATGCTGTCAAGTGAGTTATTTGGAAATTTGTTGTCAGTTCTTATAGACATCCATGTCAAGACTCACGGGCTTCTTTTATTATAGCGTCTTGTTGCTTGAATTGCAATGGAGAGATGTGGGGAGGAGTCTTGCTGGCACAGGCAGGAAATGGTTAAGAGCCTTTCATATCACCTGGGAAAGCAATTCTTTGATTTTTCAGAGGGCGCTAACATGCTGCAGTTCATAGGAAACAAAGGGAAGGGGATCAAGTATAAAAGTTGTTCTTGGATTTTATTTTCAGTGGCAGAACCTGTGAGGGCTGGATATTAAAGTCTGCTGAAAAAAATATGGAATTCTGGATTAAAAAGACCTTTTTTTCTTCTTATCTTCATTCAGAAAATGATCTGTGAGGTAAGTGTTGATTCCAGCTGGTGACTTTTGATAACTTCTTTTTAGATTGAGAGGTAAGGAAAAACCCTTTATATTGTTGACCCATTTTAAAACAGTGAATTCTTTGCTTAACTTGTTACTTGGGCAGGGCAGGGAGTGCAGGCAGAAGTGAGTCAACAACTGCAGAAAGCCCACAACGCTTTCCTGTATTTGTCTTCAAATTGCTGCCTTCATTTCTGAGTTTGAGTATAGAAATTCAGGAATGGGGAGAAACAATGAGTCAGGGAAGTTTGTGATGAGGAGGTGCAGCAACTATTTCAGCAATGACAGGAGACTTTCAAATTGTAGTAGTATCTGTGCTGAAGTACTTTTGCAGTTGATGCTTCAAGCATCTTCTATTGGTGGCTCTTAAAATATTTTCCAAACCTGGTTTCTTTAAACCACGCTGTGCTCACAGGGTTTTGTGTTTCCAGCTTGTTTAAGGTCTCTTCTAGTGGATGGTGCAGTTGCTGCCCCTGTGTCTGTGCTGATCCTTAAGGGCAGGCTGCTCTGGGGGTATGAGAGAGGAGTCTCACAATGGCCATTAATTCTTAGTATGTCTGCAGCTGAGACTAAGGAGGTCTCACCTTAAAAAGTGCTGCTGGCTTTTTTGTGTGTGTGAAAACAGATGCTTTTCCACTTGAGTGTGGCTGCACCAAGCTGGATGGCAATAGCTCATGAACAGTTGTCACTGAGAGCCAGTGCTGAGTGAGGGGACATGTTTGTGTCCTGTGGAGAGCCCTGCAAACCATCCATCCACCTTGGGAGCTGTTAGTGAAAGTCAGTGGTACTCTCACTCCTGGGAAGGTTAATTACAGCTGGTTCATTAAGGTATTTTTCTGTCTGGACTATACCAAATGCTGGTGGATTTATTGAGCTTTTGGGGAGGAACAGTGATTTCATTTTCTTTCTCTTTGCAGCTCATGCTGTGAGTGGTATCTGGTGGGTGGGACGTGTCCCAGCTGATGGTGCAGCACAGTGGTGTAACACCACTGCCCATCTGGTGCTGGGGACAGATAAGCATCAGTCCCTGCAAGAGTCGCCTTGCCAGTTCTTCTGGCTGTTGCCTGCTGTTCCCAGCTCCCTGGCACCCCCACGTTTTGCTCAGCCACGAGTTTCTTGTTGTCAAGAAGGCAGAAGATGATAATCCAGTCAGAGGTGGGCTAGCTGGGGCAGGAACATGCCAAAAGGTAGAGTCAGGACCGTTTAGTTCCTGCAAATGATATTCTTCATCACCGTGTTTCCGTTCCCCTCATCAAGCAGAGCTTTTTATTATCTTTCTGCTGCCTTTCATAAGGTGCAGGAGAAGCTGTGGACATTCACAGCTTCTGAACTCTCTGTTCCCAGGTTCTGGCTGGCCATGAATCTTGTATCACCCTGCCCTGTTTTGGGGTGCTGTGTTATTTGCTGAGGTTAGGACACGCTCTGATTTAGCGCGTTCTGCTGCTGCTGGATCTTGAGCTTAGGTCCCTGTGGCAACTGCAGAAATAAATCACTGGGGCTCAGGGAGAAACTCTTCTCTTGAAACACATGGCCCATGATTCACAGTTTTTATTAGCAGGGATCTGGTGATTGAATTGCTTTTGCATTTAAACAAAAGGTTGTAAACCCAGATTGTCTTATTCGGCAAGATTTTTTCCTATTTGAAAGTTATTTTTCTGAAAGCTTGACTGTTAAATGCTTTTGCTTACAGTGTCAATATCTGACATTCATTTAAGCTTCTCAGTGTGAAAACGTTTTCTACTCTTTTACCAGTGCTATTGATTAAAATGCAGTTTATATTTCTTGGGAAAACTTGATATTCAAAAATGTCTTTTCGCTGTGAGTCAGAATGTACTTTTCCATGGAATAAAAATTCTGGGAAGGAAAAAAAGCTATTGGAAATGTTGAACAAATTATATTGTCATTTCAACCAGGTTATACAAGAAAAAGGAAAGAACTTCAAAGTCAAAATGAAGGGCTCTGATGTTTTTGTCATATTTCAAGAAAATTGGTACATTCTTCTGCAGTTGTTGAATTTTATCTGTTCAGCAATTTCCATATGAAACTCTTTGAGAATGTTCTGTACTGGCCCTAATTCCAAGTTCCTGTTTAATTCAATTGGCTGTTTCAAATTGCATATTAAATACGAACTATGAAGCTTCTTTATTCTTTGTCTTTGGCCATTGGTGTTTCTTCTAAAACTAGTAGAGGGAAGGTTTTTTTTTTCCAGTATTATGTAGTAGTTTCTAGTTCTCCTGCTTTAACTGCTGTATCAATGGTACAATTATTTACAGTAAAGCTCTGGTTTTGAAGAAAACTGGACAGGAAGGACCTTTGGAATGTAACAGGTTAAAGTATAATTTTGCTGGTAGCCATGTTGCAGCTTGCAGATGAGATCAAAAAAAAGACTGGAATAATTACTGCTGGTTTGGATGCTTTCAGATGATGCTCTCCTTGTCAGTATTACTGTGGTCACATTACACCATAGTGTGGTAATTTTGTGGTTTTTAAATATACCTTTCACCTTAATTGAAAACACTTTCCTATGCTGAGCAGAAAGGACCTGGGCTCTGCTCAGTAATGTGCGTTGAGGTGTTGCCTAAATTATAGAGGAAGCACACTTTGTGGCAAGATCTGTTTCACTCCTCCAGAGAAATATTCCCTGAAGATGAGGGGTTGCCCTGGGGCTGATGGGGTTTGGGCCCTGGACATGCCTCTCCCTGAAGCACCCTGGCGTGCACAGATCCTTATTGCTGTGAACTGGCCTCTCCTGGGACTGATGTCAGGGACCAGCTTGGGGAGGGAGCTTTGAAGGCCTGTAGTTCCCCCCAGTCTTGAGGGGGGAGCAGATCCTCTCACACTGTTTTAGATAAAAATTCAGAAAGATAGAAATTCCATCCTATGCTTTTCCAGCATCATAATATTCTTACTGTTGGATTTTTTTTTCTGTGTGTAACCTAAGCCCATTATTCCCTGTCCTAACCATTGTGGTCATGAAGAGCTGACATTATAATGTCTCACCACACTTGTCCCATCTCTGTACTAACCTGTACGTTCATTTTACTACAGATACTCTAGTGCTTGGATCTCTCCTTTGGATTCTCTCCAGTTAGCCCATTATTTTCCCTGAAGTGTGTTGCTCCAAATTGAACAAGACTTCAGCAGAAGCTTTACCAGAGCCAGCTGAGGCCTCCTCAGCTGCTCTCAGTGGTGTCAGAAAGATGAACTTCCTCCTGAGCTGTTCTTCCCTGCTCTGAGTTGTCTCAAGTACTTATCCTCAACTCTGCTGCTGATGTCCGTATGATTTGGTAACTAATTAATCTGTTCCCTAACATTTGAAAAGTTTCTGTATACACTTTACCTCCTGCTTAGGTACTTGAAACTTTTGGATGAGGGACACATACAAAGTAAGTGGAAAATGATCTGTACATTTGCAAACCAGTTTAGAGTTCAGCAGAAGTAAAGAGAGGAACAAGATATTTTATTAAATCCTGGAAGGTGCAGACAAATGGAACTTTTCAGTATCAACTAGAATTTAATTTTGGAATTCTGTAAGGAGAGATTGGAAGTCTGCCACACTGTAATAGTCTGATATTGTAAGAAACCAAAAATGCCTCAGTCTCTTCTTGACCTATATAGTTCAGAGTCTGAGCTGTTAATTTTATAAAGTAAAAAGAAGAGAACTTTACAGGTTGTTTTCCTGTACTTGGAAATAAACATCTGAGGAGAGCACAGTGCAGATTCACACTATCATTTAACCCCAGCTTTCAGTTTGGTGTGAATGGTATCCACAAAACCCTTGTGGCTGTGGAAATAGCCCATGTCTCGTCAATTTTCTTGATGGCACCCAGTGAATTACATGTAGAATATAAGACCTGTGAAAGAATTTTCTGTAGACTTCTGGAAAATGAAATTCATTTCACAAGAACCCCACTGGGAAACTTTCTGTTCTAAACTTTCATCATTGTGAATCAGTATCCCTGGGAGAACGTGGTAAATTCACCTTGATTTCACTGCAGATATTATTGATATTTGTATCATTTCAGGGAGTTAAGGTCTCATGTTGTAAGAAGTCTCAACAGGTTGTTGCCCAAGGGGCCATAACTGCTGGAAAAAGACTGAGCTGGATTTGATATCATAAGGTTTTGCTGTGTGATGTAGCACTCTACTTGCTTTGCAAGTGGAGCTTTCACTGGTGTATTTGGTGTTGGTACACACCAGAGAGACCTTTTGAGAAAGGGAATTTTGCTTGGATATGTAGCAGAAATGAGGAATGTCCTATTTCTGTTGCTATTATTCAAAAGCCAGGTGTTACTTTTATGGAACTGTAAACATTGATCCATTGCAGAGTTGTGTGGCAGGAAACTGCTGAATTGCCTGGATGTGGGTGATTGTGTGGAGCACGAGGGCTGGATTGGAAGTTCCCTAGATGTCCTCAGCTGTAGTGAGAGGCAGGCCCCCAGATCTTGCAATATAATGTCTGAATGATGTTCTTTCTAGTACTGGAGGAACCCAGTGTCCTGAGGCAAGACAGGCAAGACATTTTGGAGTAATTTATTTTAAGGAGAAAACAAAATTTAAAGGTCAAGCTAAATTTTTATTTCAACATCCTTTTTTACTGTCTTGGACACAAAAATGCCAATGTAAAGGTGACTTTATTCTGCAAGTTTGGGCTCATCCTACTTTGGAAGCTAGCCAAGCAAACATTACTGAATTTCCAGACCTAAATGTAAAGTGTGTTTGATTTCAGGTGTGGCTGTCCTCATAAAGTAAAAAACATGTCCATCCGAGGCCTGAAGAAGAAACAGCCAAAGACTTTTAAAGTCAAAGTTATAACAGTGGATGCTGAACTGGAGTTCAGCTGTGAGGTAAGAGACCTCTGCAGAACACTAGAAAGATGGGGACCTTTGTGGTAGCAAGACATAAATCTGAAAAGTTCAGATTATCAGTTCATGGATGGTCTTAAACCTGCTCTATTATCTTTAAAAACAATGGATAACTTAGTCTCAGGTACCTTCTTCTGTTAGGTGAGAATTTAAAGCTGTTACCATGAAACCCATTTGACTGTGACACAGCTAAATTAGTAGTCACCTTGCTTTATTCCCAAGAATTCCAGCACAGGACACAGGGCTTGTTTGTAAGTTTGCCTGCTTTTCCACAAAGTTTTCTTTTCTGTAAGTGACACAACTCTTTGAGATGCTGCCAGCTTAAAGTCTGATCAGAGCTGGTCCTGAGATGTTCCTTATAAAATAGCACAAAAGTACCATTTAATGGATTATCTGGGACATTCTCTTCAAATTTGCCATTTGTAAACTTTTTGGGTTTTCTTTAACTGCAATGGCTGTTGTGTATCTCTGGGCAGAAAAGAAGAATGATCTAATGAAGAAAAAGCTGTTTTTTCTTCCATTAGTTATGGCTGTCTAGTAAATTGGATAGAGAAATTGTGACTGCAGAAAAATATGGAAGAAAACAAATAGCAAGGGATAAATGGCAAAATGAGTTGAGCTGCACTGTTGAGGAGACAAAACTGTGTATGATTAATTCCTAATCATCCAGCAAAAGCAGAGAAAGACATACAGTTATTTTGAGGAGTTAGAAAACTGAGGTCCAGTGGGACTGGCAAGTCTAATGAGAGACTAGACTGTCTTGTGGGGCATTTAGTATTTCATTTACTAGGTCCCTCAGAGGCAGAACAGATTAGTCACAACCAGTGCACTTCTGTGACTTAACTGATCTAGAATACCTGCAGGCAGAGTTGTAAAAAGAAAGGATCTGGAAATTTTGATTTAGATATCAGAGTCCCTGTTAGCAAATCTGGTTTAATGTAGTCCTTCCTTGGATCTCTACCCTCTCCCCAGATACTGCCCTTTTGCTGGGATGATGTCCTGCTTTACATCTAAATATTGCCTAAAATTTTTTTTTGCCATTGAGTTTTAGTGGCAGACCCATGGAGTTAGACAAAATCATCTCTTCAACACACAGCCAAATAGAAGAAACAGATGTGCAGCTTCTTCAGTGGAAAAAAGGCCATCATATGTGTGAATTTTGGGACCTTTAATCAAAGTTGTGTCTCTGTGGAGCCAGGCTCCTAACTCACTCTAGGAGACAGGCTCCTGTTCATTTAAACCAGAGCAGCAGAAGGGCTTGGCTTGGTGCCACTGAAATAGCTGAGGCATGTGGAAGTTGGATTTACTTTCATTGCTTGGCATTTCTACCCTCTGTCCTGACACTCCTTTGATTTCCCCTTGCTTTTTCTCAGTCTCTCTGATTTGCATAAACTCTTGAGTAAGATTTTCACAAGTATTAATAAAGCCTTGCCATGTCCTAGGAAATCAATAGCACAGTCCTCATTCCTTGTGCTTGTCAAGGGCTTGATGCTGTGGTGAAATGTCTACAGCTGCTCTGTGACTGTTTGGAGGAGAGGAAGAGGAGGTGGATCATTGTGACTATTGCAGCTTTGCTGTTATCACCTTTGCATTGAAAAGCTAAAGGTGAAATAGGAGTTCATGAGGGAAAGGCAGATGTAGCCTAGCTTGGCTAAAATGTAGCAAATTCATTCAAACAGACTTGTTTTTCTGAATTTTCTTTTTCTCTTTTAGATGAAGTGGAAGGGGAAGGACTTGTTTGACCTCGTGTGCCGAGCCCTTGGTTTAAGGGAGACTTGGTTCTTTGGCTTGCAGTACACAATAAAAGGAATGTGCACCTGGTTAAAGATGGACAAAAAGGTACAGGAAACAAAAATAACAGCAGGGCAGCTTTCTACTTCTACAGAGATTTACTCTTTTTTTAGCATGGGAGCTAAAGGAATGTGTTAAAAATCATCATTTTAGATGGTGGAATTTTTTCTAAGACTAAAGTCCATTGTGTTGTTTGGTGTGATTTACTTCTGTCACACTTGGCCTGAAGTATTACACACCCATCACCACCACGTGCACTGATTGTGATTAAAGCTCAGCATTGGCCTTCCTTCTAAAATATGGAAAGGCTGCTTTAAAAGGATTATTGGCTGCTTTCTGATTTTCCTCTGGAATATTATTTTGGGAAACTTACGTGCTATTTTTACTGCTGATCTTATTTTATCTGCAAACAGGTTTTAGATCAAGAAATCCCCAAAGAAGATCCCATTAGCTTTCATTTTCTGGCTAAGTTCTACCCAGAGAAGGTAGAAGAGGAACTATTACAGGAAATTACCCAGCATTTATTCTTCCTTCAGGTCAGGAACAATTTTTAACCATGAATTCCTTCTGTATTTACCCCAGTCCTTTTGTATTGTCTTTGATCTTGCTGGCAGCTGTTAGTCTCAGAATGATTCTGCTGGCTTCAGCTGTATCAGTGTCTCTGTAAAGATCTCATTTTTATGAAACACAAACATCTCTCCTGAGTGCTGTGGTTTTGTGTACTCATAAGCTGCATGTTTGCCTTCTGCAGGTTTTTGTTCTCTTGATGGCTTCTCACTTCTGTGCTAGGAATAGGAGCTGAGCTGCTGAGACCTGTAGTTTCATGTAAAATTGCTTTTAAGCAGTTTGGCTGATAGTTCCACATCCAGATATTCCAGACTTGTTTTGCTTCTACAGTATATGCTTTAAAAAAAACTCATCCATGCAAGGCTAGCACTGTTTGAAGAGCTGTGAGGCTTTTGCCCTAACTGCTCAGTGCTGAAAAAGGATAAAGTGAAGCCATAATTTTTATCAGCTTCAGAAATTATCTTGGACTGTGCCATCTGCTCTGGCTGAGACTAAGTTGGGTTGAAGAGTTACCACAGCTCCTTATAATCTTTGTTTTAGACCTGCTGGTGTAACCTCTTGTGCAACTATTCCCTAACCTAGTTCTTTCAAAATGAGCAGAATTAGAAGAGCCCTGTTATTAAATGTTTGCACTCTGTGGAGTGACTGCACAAGCAGTTAGTGGTGGTTGTGCAGGTGGAGAAGAGGGAAGGGGTGGTGATAAGCAGTTGGGGACAATAAGCTTTTTCACCCATAGCAGCTACAGATGGAACAAGACCTGTGACTACAGTCTATCCCTGAAACAAAAACTTGTGAGTTCCTAAAAATAGTCCAGGTGCTTCTGGGGAGATCTTGTTGTGTATGACTGCAGAAGGCTCAGACTAGAAAATAAAAGCTCCTTAACCTGTCCTCCTTAAATCTTCATCTTACATTAGTTTCAGCTGTTCTGAAACAGTTTTGTTCATCTAGCAAGTTTCAAAAGGAGTGGAGCAGCATATACAGCTATCACTCAACCAGAAGATTCACCACAGTGTGTGATCCTTTTAAAAACAGTCTGGAGGTTTCATTGTGTTGTCTGCTAGCCCCTTGATGAGCAGTGTTGTTCCCTTGTTATAGTGTTGGTATTCTTCTGAAACACCCAGACTTGCACACAATGATTTCTGCCAGTCAGATTATCCAGCTGGAGTTGTCTTCCCTACCCCACTGAACTGGATGCCTCATGTTAGCAGAGTAAATCCCCAGTCCTGACACATCTTCATTACAGATAGCAGAACCCATTTCAGCTCTGCCATAAGAGCAGCAACTGAGGAGCTGCAGGAGAGCAGTGCTGTGCTCAGGAGCAGAGCTGTTAGCTGTGTGAACCCAGCTTGGTCTGTACACCATTGTGGTTCTTACAAATTTACAGTGTCCATGAAGTGGAAGCCAGTAAAGGTAATAAAGTTAACCCCACCTATGTGCTGATACTTGTGGCTTTGCAGATGCCACTTGGGCTTTCTTTTGTCCCAGAACTTGTTATGGTTCTCTTAGCCCCATTAAAAAGTAGATAAAGGAGCAAATTCTTGGAGCACCATGCTTCATTATCAAACTAAAGATGGATCAAGCAAGAAAAGTCATGCTGGGGCTCCAGAGCTGCAGCAAGAGGCTGCAGCTGTAGCAATACTCTCATGGAGTTTTGGATGGCCACTTGTTGGTCAGCTGTTTGTTCCAATGTCTGTGACATCCAGCTTCTCTCTTGAGTTGATTTGGACAAGAAAAGCCATGCTGGGGCTCCAGAGCCTGTAGCAATAGATACTCTCATTGAGTTTTGGATGGTCACTTGTTGGTCAGCTGTTTGTTCCAATGTCTGTGATATCCAGCTTCTCTCTTGAGTTGATGTGGAGTCCTCTGCAAGTTACAGCCTTCTGCTGTGTTGCTTTATTCAGGTAGCTTGCAGCAGTATGTGTCTGTGCAAGTAAATGGGGTGTATGGAATAAATCTAGTCTGTGTCTGTAAATAAACACAGTAAATGCACTTGTTCCCTGAGGAGGATGTGTTAATGAAGTGAGGGGAAAATGCTGCTGTTCTGAGGGTTAATATACCAGCTAGAACTTCATCCAGAACTCTTAACCACTTGGCAATTTGTTTCTTAAGCTAATTTTGGAAAGGAATGACAGAGGCAGAACTCTTTTCCTAGTCTTTTAATCCTGATTTTTTTTTTTTTTCACTTTTTACTTTTCTCCTTGAACCTGCCTTGACTAGCAGGTATGCAATTAGCAAATTCTTCTCATTCCAAAGTAGAAAAACAAGACTGAAACAAATTTGAACATGTAAAGTTTCCTGACTATAAGAACTTAAGATCACACCTGGATGCTAATAGAAAAAACATGTATGGACATCTGGATGCCTACAGCTTTCAGCTCTACTGAATATTCAGACCTTTACAAATTTGTGACATAACAGCTTTTTTTTTTTTGTAAAATGTGTGAATAAATGTAAATTACTAAAGCTAACTGTTGTCTGTTTAAAGATTAGGTAATTTCTCCTTCAGAAAGTATAACAAAATGTCCTTGTAAGAACTATCAGGGAAAAAAAACCCCACCAGTTGTTTATGGGGGTTGTATCTTAAGTTCTAAATTCTGAAGTGTATGATTTGCACCATGGAATATGAAAACTGGAGCTTTCCAATTTGGAAGAAAAGTCTCTTCAGTCTTTTCATTCTTTCCATTTTAACAGCTTAGAAAGAATTTTCCCTGTGCTATAACTCAGGTTCATATATTGTGCTCAGTAGAGATTAAATTTAGGAGAGAAACTTTATTGATGGTTCATTTCAGTTCACAACATCAAGTGCCAAAATGTATTTGTAAAGATAGCCCAGTGTTGTCTCAAGTAATTTTTCTTTTTGGAAATGTTTAAGACTGCACTGTGCAAAATTTTCTTGACTTATGCTTAGACCCCTGTAATTGAATAAAGTCAGCTTCCTTTGTGGAGGTCTGCTCTGTTCTTTCATTCTGGAAAGCCTGAGAACATAGAGCTTTCAGTATATCTGTCCTTGACAACATTAGTGAGCTGGGCAGGCCTGAGTAATCAGATGGTCTAGTTGGAGCTGCTGTGACTAGATGACCTCCAGAGGTCCCTTGCAACCTAGAATTTGGTGTTTTACATGTTGTAAAGCTAACTTTTCCAAAGTAGAAAGAAAAAGATGATTTGTTAAAAGGAATGAAGTGCAGACAATAAAATTCATGTTTTAGAACACATTCAGGACTCCTTATATAAATGTGTGGCAATAGCAGACTGGCATTTCTATCAAATTAGCATTAAGACACTTGAACTTTCAAAAGCTGGAGTTTTTTTCCATAAAACATAACACTAAGTACCTTTATTTCTCACTGCCATTTTATTCTTGCTGTTACTAACTCATAATGGTGATGTCTGGTGCCAAGTTATAGTCTGGGCATGTCTAGTTTCATTTGAAGCCTGACATAAGTCCTGGATTTAAGCTTCTTTAACTTGCTCCCTTTTTCTCTTGATGAGAACATAGAGCTTTCAGTATATCTGTCCTTGACAACATTAGTGAGCTGGGCAGGCCTGAGTAATCAGATGGTCTAGTTGGAGCTGCTGTGACTAGATGACCTCCAGAGGTCCCTTGCAACCTAGAATTTGGTGTTTTACATGTTGTAAAGCTAACTTTTCCAAAGTAAAAGAAAAAGATGATTTGTTAAAAGGAATGAAGTGCAGACAATAAAATTCATGTTTTAGAACACATTCAGGACTCCTTATATAAATGTGTGGCAATAGCAGACTGGCATTTCTATCAAATTAGCATTAAGACACTTGAACTTTCAAAAGCTGGAGTTTTTTTTTCCTTAAAGCATAACACTAAGTACCTTTATTTCCTCACTGCCATTTTATTCTTGCTGTTACTAACTCATAATGGTGATGTCTGGTGCCAAGTTATAGTCTGGGCATGTCTAGTTTCATTTGAAGCCTGACATAAGTCCTGGATTTAAGCTTCTTGAACTTGCTCCCTTTTTCTCTTGATTTAGGTTAAGAAACAAATACTGGATGAGGAAATCTATTGTTCTCCAGAAGCAACAGTTTTACTGGCTTCTTATGCTGTTCAGGCCAAGGTTTGTGTATAGAAGTGCCCTTTTTTTATTCAATTTTTTAAAAACACATATCTTGATGGTATGTAAAACACAGGAATGTTAATATTTGTTGTTAAAGAAGTAAGTCATCCTGGGAGGTACAGGTGCAGCTAGAAAAAATAAGCATTAGATGTCTCTACAAGGATTTTGGTATTATGCACTATGCTTTCACAACTTGGGGGTTTTCCTTGAACCTAACAGTTTAATGTAAATTTTTCTCCCAGCTAGAATTATTTCCTGTTGTTTTAAATGTCCATAGATACAGCAGGAGTTGATACCAGAGCTCACAATAGAAGGGCATGATGCTTTTCAATACCTCTCAGAACATAGTTCACTTCATGCCACCAAGAACCAAACTTATGCAATGGCAGGAGATGAACAGAAATTCTCAGCAGGGCTGGCCCTCTGCAGCACCCCAGCCTGTGTGCAGCAGGCTGTAGGAGCAGGGGAGTTGATACCCCTGAATGTAGCCTGTAGCTCAGATGAGAGTGGGAAGTCCTGGGAGATTCCTTTCTCTCTGCAGTTATGGGAAGCTGCAGCCCAGGACTGAAGCCTGAGGTTATAGGGCACTCCAGTGGCTGCACTGGAGCCATGTGCACAGCACAGAGGCTGGGGGTAACTTCTGTGGGTAGTTCAGGTGAATGGAGCCTGTTCATCCTGTTATCCTGTATATGGGAGAACCAGCCCAAAATCTCTCACCTAATCTCATCAGACTACACAAGCAACAAGTTTTTCAGCATTCTGCATCTAACAAACTGAAGTATCTTTTCTTTTCTTGGGACAGTATGGAGACTATGACCCAAATTTTCACGAGCCAGGCTTTCTAGCACATGATGAACTTTTACCCAAAAGGGTAAGTCTCTATTCTGTATAAAACCAAATCTTTGAATCTACTCCTTGTAACACAGACTGCTGTGGGATTAACCAGAGCATTAGAAATTGTTTGTGTCTGCCCTGAACTTGGCAAAATTACTGAGCTGTGGACTGCTGCATTCACGTTGCTTGGGAGAGGCAGCACGTGTGTTTGTCTCTTCAAAGGAAACCAAACTCCTTCCTCTCTCTGTAGGTCCTCAGGCAGTATCAGCTGACAGCAGAGATGTGGGAAGAAAAGATTACTGCTTGGTATGCTGAGCACAGGGGTATTGCCAGGTACTGAAATCATTTCATTCTGTGGAAATCCCATGCATTTTCTGGTTATTTGCTGTCTTCACTGAAGTTTGGCTTTTGTAGAGTAAGCAAAGAAATGCTGGTTTCCAAGCTGTGGTGTTGATAGGTTAATTTATAACTAAGAATAAAACCTTGTAAAAATCATGGATCAAAAGGGTGTCACACTTAGCAAGGAACCAAAACAGAAAGACATGGCATCATAGCTGCAGGACTGAGCTTTGATGCTCTTCCATGTGGACATTCAGCTACTTCAAGACATTCAGCATGCCTGGAAATTCAGTTAAACAAGAAGCAGAAGCTGCTGGCACCCAGAGACAGCCTTTCCTAATATTTCAGTTCAATTTCTTTTTGGCTGTTCTAGATGCTTCTTAGCACTATTCTTACTGAATATTTTCCTCAGGTCTTACTGATGCTTCACCTTGAAGGGAGAAGAATGGTGGGTGGAGAGATTCTTACCCCTCTTTGGCCTGTGCTCAAAGCTCTATTTAGAATTTGTTCAGGACTAATTTCACAATGAACTCTTTCTTGAAGGAAATCTCATCATGTCATGGAAAACAATGGTAGGGTAGTTCTCCCAGACATAGTAATGATGGACTGGCAAAACTAACACAAGGATAAGACTGGACTTGAATTTTAATAAAGATTACACTATACATGATTGAAAATAAGTCAGCTTTACTGTCTTTATTCTGTAGAGATGCTGGTTTTATTATCCTTTTTCTATTGTTGAGAGTAAGATGGCAAAAATTAAAGAAGGTACAAAGGACCAGACTGCCTGTTCTTTTCTCAGTGGGAAATATAGAGTCAGCAGGGAGAGAGAGGCTGGGATGGAATCTCCAAGTATAATCATGGCCTTATTCTCTAGGGATGAAGCTGAGATGAACTACCTGAAAATTGCCCAAGACCTGGAAATGTATGGTGTCAATTATTTCCCCATAGCTGTAAGTGCTTTATTTTAGCAGCTTTCAATTGCTGCAGATGATGGTACCATCCTTTTGAAATCCTCCAGGGGGTCTGGAACTGGGACTCCTGAATTCTGCCTTTCCCTGCTGGTGGTGGGCTGATTGTCCTGACTTGGGTTGCTTGCCTTTAAAAGAGTAGGTGAATAAACCAGTGAAGACAAATATTTTTACAATCAGACAAAGGCCTTTGAGCAGCTCTGGGTCTGTAGTAAGAAGGGGAAGCAAACTAGAAGTTTGAACTGCTGTAGTCATCCTAGAGGGCTGGTTTTAATAGCTGGCAGTGACAACATTCATAATATTTAGTGGAAATATCACTTTCCTTAAAAATACAGATAAATATCAAAGTATTAGAATAAATGTGGATCTTGCCTGTGGTTGTTTAATGTCACCATAAGTTGCATTTACTGCTATGTTATTGTTTTTTAGCAAAATAAAAACCATACAGATCTCTTACTTGGAGTTGATGCCAAAGGTATTCATATCTACAGCATTAATAACAGGTTCTCTCCAAATAAGTCATTTGAGTGGAGTGCTATCAGAAACATCTCCTATAGTGAGAAAGAGGTATGATGGCTTTGATATATTATTCTTTTTATATGGGCATGGGTGTGGACTGGGATTCTTGGAACAGGCTGAAAGCTGTCTCTGTTTTAATAATTTGGGGGGGGAAAGGGAAAATCCTAGGGAGCTTTGTTACAAAAATACCAGACTGCCTGTGAGATGCAGTGCACAGCCTCAGTCCCCCTAGGAGCCAGAGGCTGCTCTGAGCTCCCCAGACTCATGGAGCCCTCTGCTCTGGTTCCTTCCCTGCTGATTGTCCTTTGCAAAACAAGCGTGTTGATCTCTGAAAGAGATGACTGATTAGCTTCTTCAGTTACCTCAGCAGGAGTTAGATGATCCAGAAAGACTTAATGCCCTTTTCACAGGTAGAAGCTGTCCCTGTAGATGAGTTCTGGAGCCCAGTGGCAAGAGGAGACACGCAGGGAGTTATACATGTTCTTCTGCCTGAATTCTGCCAGTTCCTCAGTGAACTTTCAGCCTTCAGCACAGCCCTACCATTGCCATTTCACTCATTTCAGAGCCCATCTCTTACTTGTAGAAAGTATGATGAGGAGTGGGTGAGATCTAGTCTCACTAAAAATCACATGGCTACATGGAAGGCTATAATCAGAAAAAAAACCAAAAAAACAGAAAAACTGTATTGGTACTGGAACACCTGGAATTTATCAGCCAAAGGATAGCACAGCCTGTCCTGTTTTCTGTGGATCTTTTGAAAAGCATTGAGGATGAGATTTGCTGTCCAGAGTTAGATGTCCATACATTAAATCAGGCAGAGCAGCCTACACAAATTCTGTCTCCAAAAGGTTTTTGGTCCTGGCATGCCACTAAACTTCCCCTCTAGTCTAGGAATAAACTGCTTTAACTCCCTGTTGTTGGGAAATGGGGAAGCCCTATCTTAGAGCTCCACTGTATTCAGTGACACATTCACAGCTCTGCTCCTCACAAAGCAACATGTTCAACCAGTTATTACCTACAGGGTGAAACAAGCTGTAGGGCATTATGATCTTGATGACTCAGATGGCCTGAAATTATAGATTGCATTGCAAATGAATTATAGGAATAGAGTGCTAGCTAATCCATGAGTCACTGAAAACAGGATCTTGAAGAATGGAGTGATATTTTGTTACACAGCCAAATCAAGCACAGGGTAAGAAGTGAAACAGTGTGCACTGACCTGGCAGCATGAATGCCCTTAGTGACCTCTGGGAACAACTTGGGAGACAGGGCTGAAGATGGGAGAAAGCAGGAGGTCCAGGACTGTAACCTGATGGGCAGAACAAGTCCTTCATGCCCTTGCTAAGTTCTGAGTACACCTGCAGTGACTGGTGTTCAGAGAGGTGTTGGACATCTCCCAGGCTTTGGGAGTACGACTGCTTCTGGAGAGCCCTGATGTATTCTCTTTTCCTGGTAACCAGTGCTTGTTCCCATGTTCTTAGCAGAGTTTGCAATGCACAAGTGGTGTTGTTATGAAAACCACCATCCAAACTGTCACCAGGGTGGGTCTGTGGGAGGCTTTCTCTTCTAATGTAGCCTGCTATGGGAGCAGATGAGGAACCTGTGTAATGCAGCCCTGGTTCTGATTCTTTTGAGCAAAACATTTTTGTATCACTCCCCCCACACTTGTGGCATAACTCACTGCTTCCCTGGAGAGCAGTGGAGATGGGCTAAAATTTGCATTTGTATTAATAGTTTCAGCTTTGTTTTTCCTCCTCACTGTTTTCCTTTTTTTTCTCCTTTTGCCTGTGTAGTTAACTATTAAACCTCTAGATAAAAAAGCAGAAGTCTTCAAGTTCTTCTCCTCTCAACTCAAAGTGAACAAATTGGTAAGTGTCCCATTTTCCTTCTTTAAAACTGAGCCTGGTAATATACTGGCAGATACCTAAGTGAGAAATACTCTCTGTAAAACCTATGGAGAGGCCAGGGAGCATTGAGTTTCTGCATGTGTTTTCCTGAGCGTTGTTTTTCTGGGAGGACAGAGTGCATGCTTGTCCTCTCTGGGAAGAGGGGATGGTGGGTGGGAGGCAACATGTGAAAGAAGACCCAAATCACAAAGGGAAATTGAGGTGCTGTGAGGGAAGGATGAAGTGTGTGGAAAGGTGCAAAGCCAGTGTGGCATCTGCCTGTCTGGTTGCTGTGGGTTCTTAATCAGTTACTGCCTCTGCTTTTCTGGGAGAAACAACAAGAAAGGGACCTATCAGCTGGCTCATTGTATCATCACTGGTTGCTTCCTAACACAACCACAGGGACTAGACCACTTCTTAGCAAGCTTGTGGTCATCACAGGTGACCATTCCCACAGCTACATCCTGTGTACTCTTGGTCTCTATCTATTGTCTGTTCTTACTCAGGCAGATGAACCAGAGGGGATGAGGGACAGAAGGAACCCCACATCCTGTTAGGAACTTTTCTGAACCATCATGTACCTGGGTACAAACCTGCCCTGGGTGCCAATTTTCTTGGAAGGGAAGCAAACTACCAGCACCTGTACTGTCAGAATTGTCACCTTCTGTCCTGTGAGGCAAATGTGGGGCTCTTTGTCCCTCTGGCTGGAGCACAAGTCTATCCAAAATCACATTTGCTTTGCTTTTCCTATCTAGATTTTGCAGTTGTGCATTGGAAACCACGACCTATTTATGAGGAGGAGAAAAGTGGACTCAATAGAGATCCAGCAAATGAAAGCACAAGCCAGAGAAGAAAAAGCTAGAAAAAAGGTAAATGTTTTTTACTCCTCTCTTGTCAAAAACACTGATTATTATTCCAGCTGGTGCCCTTGCTGTCCATGCATTGCATGAATATGCCTGTGGGAGGTGAGAAAGTGCAGCAGGATTGACTGTGGGAACAGCTCGAGTGTGTATGCAGCACCTGAGGATGCAAGTGATGGTTGTGAAACTGAACAGGTGAGGCAAAGATTTGGAGGACATAACAGATGGATCCAAGTGCTCTTCCAGCAGTTTGCAGTAGCCAGTCTTACCCCTTAGAGGAGTTCAGTGCTGCAGAGCGCAGGCAGCTTCAGCGCTGCATCTCTGGTGAATATCAGTCCACCAGCTAGAGAACAGTCCGTTCTCAGCTCGATTCATTTGCTGTGCTGCCTCAGGCCCAGAGGAGATTGCTGCAAACCCACAAACGTGGTATGGCTCATTCTGTTTCCAGATGGAGAATCAAAGGCTGGCCAGGGAGAAGCAGCTCCGAGAAGAAGCGGAGCGAGCCAAAGAAGAGCTGGAAAGGCGTCTCTTCCAGCTGGAGGATGAAGCCAGGCAGGCCAATGAGGCCCTGGTGAGTAGTGCATTAATCTGAATATTCTTGTACTTTATGGGCTTTCTTAGTTTGTAAGGATTTTTTTTTTTCTTATGGCTCCTGTGAGACACCAGGAATTATGGCTCAGACAAGGCTGGAGAGTTTCTGACCGCTGGTGGAGAGGGCGTGCTGAATTACCTGGGAAAACTCTGCTCTGTCATTAATCTCCATTTGCTGTGAGCCATTTGCTCCCTGTATTTATCACAGTGCTTTCTTCAGGCAAAAAGGGAAGGAAGGAAGCAACCTTGGAGCTGAAATTGGGAGAAAGGGACATGGTGTGCTTGCAACTGAAGGGGCCAAATTCAATATTTGGTTGATGTGTTTGTCCAGATTTAAGCAAATGTCTCCTTACTTTGTAGAGGTGAGGGGCAAGAAGGAAATTGGGCAATTCTGGAGTTGTTTACTATACTTTTTATTTCAAGGAATATTTTATCACCTGATCTTTTGGGAGCACGTGTCCTTCCCAACTGTCTGCAGGGGTATTTTGCAGGTGCTAGACAGGGTAACTAAGAAAAACTTCCTTCTTAGCTCCGATCCCAGGAAGCAGCAGAGTTGCTGGCTGAGAAAGCTCAGATTGCAGAAGAAGAGGCAAAGCTGCTGGCCCAGAATGCTGCAGAAGCTGAGCAAGAGCGACAGAGGCTGGAGATCACAGCTCTGAAAACCAAGGAGGAGAAGCGCCTGATGGAGCAGAAGATGCGGGAGGCGGAGCTGATCGCCGTGAAGCTGGTGAAGGAGTCTGACCGCAGGTGAGCTTTGCCTGAGCTGGGGCTCTGTGGAGCACTCCCTGCTGGAGTGCCTGGGTGCAGACAGGGCTGCTTTTCCTCAGAGCTAAGCCTGGGAGGGAGGGATCGTTCCTGAAGCAACACTCCACAGCAACTAAGCCTTCTTGCATCTTGTTTGTTCCACTGGTGCCCGTGGTTGTGATAGAGGTCAAGAAGTTCACAGAGGATCAGATGCAAGGCTGCAGAGATGTTTAGTATTAAAGATCCAGAATGCAGAAGCATTTTCTATTGAGTGTTAGCAAAAGACCACTAGCTATCTAAATTTACCAGTCTGTATATCCTGTGAGTTGTGAGGCTGTTCTCATTCATTACTACTGCTACTTGTGGTGGTCTCTTGTGTCCCTTTCAGATCCTTGAGAAGTGTAGACCAGGTAAACTTGTGTGAAATATAAAGCACTCTGTCTGCATGTTCTGTAAGACTGTGCTGCCTGAAGACACAGGACCAGAACAGTGTTGACAGAGGATGTTTAACCTTGCTATTAAGAGCCTTCTGTTTGTTTTAAGATACTGCCAAAAAGCTTGCCAAAATAAAGAGCAGATATATTGTACCTCTCCCCACCTCAGGGAGGATCTCTGCCTGGAGAATCTGTATCAGCAGATCATAGCTGAGCCCATGGCAAGGAGGAGAAGGAAAAACATGTTAATTCAGCCAGCTTATGCAAGGTTGCCTTTGAAAATGTGTCATGCTGCATCCAGTTAGTTCTCCATGTGGTCATCCTGCCACAGGTCTCTTTGTCTTTGGGTAGAGGAATTGCTTACAGTAATGGATCTTGTTCTCTGGATGGTTGAGAGATGCACAGCTCTGAAATCCATGTGCTGCTGTACACTGGAAGTCATCAGCCACTCAGGGTGTTTCTCTTACAGAGCCAAGGAAGCAGAGCATCTGAAACAAGATCTGCACGAAGCCAGGGAGGCTGAGCGGAAAGCAAAGCAGAAGCTCCTAGACTTAACCAGGCTTAATTACCCTGTAAGTTTCTGCTCTGCTGGGCTCCACTTCATCTCTGGGGATGGTCAGATGTTGATTGCAGTGTTATAGCCCCCATCAGGCTGAGCAGTGGTGTGTCTGCATCCCCCTGGGGGACAAGCACCTATAGGACCAACTGGTGTGTAAACACAGTGTAGCTAGGAGGGGGGTTTTGTCCAGAGCAGTGACTCAAGATGATAAAGGCAAGACAGAAGTTAAAACCAGGGCTGTTGTTGGGGCTTAGGGAGGGGAGATTCTTGCTTGCATTTGTGCCTAATACCAACTCTGTGCCAACTCAGTCAGGCAACAATTTCTAGAGGTGGTTGTTCTGAGCCAGTTCTGTTGTCCTGGCATGGGAATTGCCCATGAGCATCTTTAGGCAAAGCAGGTGAAGCTGTCTCCAGCAAGAAGGTGGTGCTAAGGCTGTGTGCCCCAAATCCCTCTTCTACTCCAGTCTTGCTGAAAATGGATTTCCATTCTCTGCTGAAATTAACAGGGACACTGCAGCCAGGCTGCTTCTTCATCTGGGTCACTCAGGTAGAAAGGAATGACTGCAGGAGCATCTGTGCATCACAGAGTCAGTGGCTGACTTATGAAATGGCTCAGATGCAGCAGCTGGGGAGATAAACCTGAAATCAAGCAATCAGATCTCACTGACAGTGCTTGTGTTGCCTCTTTCAGCACATGGCCAAGTACCCACAGTACTCCCCACCTGACACCAGAGATGCCAACTTTGACAAAGGATCCATAAAGCTGGATTTGAAGGACATTGACCTCAAGAGACTATCCTTTGAGATAGAGAGAGAGAGGTATCAGTATGCTTATGGTGTAAGTAATTGAGAAGGTTAATCATGGGAAGTACAGAAAGGAAAAAAGCAATTTCTGGGAATCACAGTTCATTCTATTAACAGCTCCTACTTGTACATATAGCTGGAGGCCTTTTACTGAGCTGGTATGGATCGTGTCTGGGTAATACTAGTTATTTACACAGAGGAAGAGC